GGGGGAGAGCCCAGTGCTGGGACGGCAGAGGGTGCAGGTGTGGGGGGAGAGAGCCAAGGGCTGGGGCGGCAGGGGGTGCGGGTGGGTGAGGGCACTGGGGGGAGGGGGAGAGCCCAGGGCTGGGGTGGGGGCCGCCAAAAAAATGTTTTCGCTTGCGGCGGCAAAAAACCTAGAGCCGGCCCTGCTCAGAACACACTAGAGTTGCTGCTTAGTCCTCTGCCCAGTGGGCTGGTTCTGCTTTACAGCATGAGTCTGAGGTTCAGACTGGTAGCTGCTTTCTTTGGAGGAGTAGGAATGGGAAGAAGTTATAGAAAGAGGCAGATCTGAACCAGAGCCCATGGAGGCTGGTGTTTTCTTTCTCTACATACCAGTCACAGCCAGGGTGCGCCTACATAAAGCCAGCCAGGACCTGATCTGAGATGAGGCATCAGCCTGTGCATGTATAACCAAACAGGTAGCGGATGATTCTCCAAGTCCTATGGTAAAGTATAGCTCAGTAGCCAATTTATAGCACAGCCTTAGAGAAAAATTCAGCCCCACCTGTTGGCAGCAATAGGAACAGGACTGAGAACACTTCGCCCTTTCATCTCACTTTCAGTGGCTGCAGACTTAGACTTGAATTTGAACCCCTAACCTAAAGGTGAGAGTCTCTGTATCCAATTACCCATCCCCTGAGCCATCCAAATTCCGGTTTTTAATGTGAATCCATGAAGGAGTCTTTCCATTTAAATAATTATTCGCTCTCTGTTCCACCCACCCCCATAAAACTCTGAGTGATAGCAGAGCAGTGCCATAGGCTGTCCATGTGTACAGCAAGGGCTGCTTTTCTTCCTGCAGCATCTGCAGAAAATGTAATGATAGCGTAGGCACCCTTTACTAGCGGGGCCTCTGAACTTTATTGGGAATGTTCCATGGGAAAAGCCTGTGAGGGGCAATCTAGCCTTAGAGACCACAACTCCCATGATGCTTTGGGGAAAGAGGGAGAGACTTCCTCGTGCAGGGAGAGCAGGCGGTGGACTCCATTTTTGGGAAGAGGAGTGAGATTGCTGCTGTGGAGCTCTGTCCGTACCAGGAGCTGCTGCTGAGAGCCTGCAGGGGCTTTGATTGAGGGAGCCTCAGAGGCTGTTGGTGGCTTCACTGGGGTAAGAGCAGAGACGGTTGCTGTGCCTAGCTCTGTCTGGGGTATGGCTTTAAGGAGGGAACTGTTAGGTACCCCTCCTTT